TAACTATATAACTGCATCAGAACTTTAAAATTTGAAATGTTTTTGCTCATTTTCCAAAGTCTGATGAGGACCTGGGGATCGAGTATCGAAAATTTACGAGTAAATTTACTTATTTTCCCAAAGGACGCTTTTCCTTGAAATTTAGAATACTCTCGTCGACAAACACCATCTGTGGATGAGACTGAATGGTAACGGCTGTCTTTTCATATTTGTAACGTATCGAGCATCGGCAGATAACTTTTCTAACCTCCATAAATCGTCCTCTTCCGGGTGTCTGCTTCTTCGTCGTCTGACCTTCACAGGTTCAGACAGTACTACCACTTTTTCACGTGATCATGTCTGCAAAAAATCGCAGTCTTCACTCTGCTCACTGTCAGACCTGCGGAGAGTCCGCCCACGGTAACATTTTGCGTATGAAGATATTTGAAGATCGGCTTTCTTTTTGCTCGGTTTTGTGAGTAAGACTGCCTTTTATCGGGCTGCCAGTAAATACTTATATGTTTCCTGCTGCAGGTGAGATCATCCTTGCTGCTCAGTTGGATCGCGAGAAGAGGGATCAGTACGCGCTCACGATTCGTGCCTCCGATCCTGGAGGCCTTGTTGACTTTGCCACTCTGCATGTCTACGTCACGGATGTGAATGACAATGCTCCAGTCATCCAACAAACTCGTTATGAGGTGAGTCTCCCCATTTACCCAGACCAGGACTTGAGTGGGACTTTTAAACCATGCGAATCCACTTTCAAGTCACTCATCTGCGCCCTTGAACTCCATAAAATATTGCGAAGGTCTATTTAGGTCAGCATCACCACATCAGAAGGCTTCAACAGTGTCCAGATTTTTTAAAGATTTATACTGCAACCTGTTAGAGAGCTCCAATCCAAGGAAAGAGAGCCAACCTTATTTGTGATAATCTGTTTGTGTTACATTGGTGACCTGCTCCATATCGGGCTTCACGTCAGTTTTTACACAAACATTCAGTGAGTAAATAGAGGATTCGAGCAGCAAGGTTTTAATTTAATACCGAAAATGCGCATTTTCAAAATCCAAATTGTGATTGAAGATCGAGCTGCTCGGGCAAACTGACAATTCAGCCATCATGTGTTTAGGGCGAGGACAGGGAATTGCGCGTGATTTAAAAAAAAATAGTAGTAGTAGACTTTCGATGTATCCCCGCACTCTCTTTATCAGGCTGTTTGACCCGAAGTTACTAAGAAAAATGGCGGGATCGGGCGCAGTGGCTGACAAAGCTAAACAACCCGCCCAAGCGTGCCACACACGTCTAGTCTGCACATGATGGACCAGAAGATGAGGGACGCTTCGGATCCCAATCGATTGGGAGTGCCATAAAGTGCACATTAAGAGAGACCCCTTGTAGTCGAACTCTAAGTCCGGCGAGGAATGATTTGTCCTGTCAGTTAGCAATCTTAAAAACCATGGCTTTAGCGCACCGTGATAAACTCAAGCACGTACGATTGTTTGTACGAAGAAATATGTGCTGTGTACCGTGGGGACGCAGCCCCCCACATTCGACCTCTCTTTCCTCTCTCATGTGCCAGTTTACTGTCCGAACCATTCAATGTGGGGGTTAGGCGCAAGGGGTTGGCGTGGCGTGAGTCCCCGCCTGGGCGCGCAACCACCTTCCCATGTGTGACACTTGTTAATGGGTGGTTGACGCGTGTCATACCCTCATTTAGCCCATGCTTTGGTCCAGCGCATATCCGCATTTCCGGGGTCACAATGAGCATAGCACAAACAGTTGCGCTGCCGCGTGTTGAGGGGAAAACGACTAGCTTACTGATTTTTATGAACTTAAACATACATGGCTGTATGATTTGAAAAATAAAATATTTATTTGTAAAAATTCTTTCAAGAGTTACGTTTAAATTTTAAAGAATTCACTGCTGACATTTCCTATGAAAAAAATTGACGCTAGGAAACGCACAAATAGTTGAATTTCAGAAGGATACACGACAACTAACGAAAAAATATATTACCCAGCTTGTAGCTAAGGTAGCTACTTATGGATCGAGGTCAGGCTAAATCCTGCCGATACGATGTGCTGGATAACAATAGGGACTTTCATATAAATATATTTAGCGACAGTGGATAATTAGTCTATTAACCAATTAAAACACACAGAAGTTAATTTTGGCAGATGGGCCTACCCACATGCAGATTTACAAATGAATCCGAACTCTTTCCCAGGATACTTATAATGTTTGTTTGAAAAGAAGCTCTGTCGACAAGCCACTGAAATCGCTGTTAAAATAATTAATACAAGCCTCTTCAAGCCT